ACCGGATCTCATCACAACACTTTAACACACACTTCCAGAAATTCTCAACCAGATCTTATATAACACTTTAACACACACTTCTGGAAATTCTCAACCAGATCTCATTATAACACTTTAACACAGACTTTCAGGAATTCTCAACCGGATCATAACACTTTAACACACACTTCTTGGAATTCTCAGCTGGATCACACCACAACACTTATAACAACATCACAGTTGGTTCAATCCATCAAATAAATAAATGAGTTATGCTTTCGTTGGCAAAATAATTTTTGTACATGCAACACATAATAGATAGCATCTTAGAACAAGTCCCTGAGTCTCATGGATCACGAAAAAACACACAAAACTCAAGTAGTGGTCCCGCGGCAATGTACACTACCGCAGGCCCTATGCCACGCCACCCTCTAAAACACCATTTCATAGCAAAATATCAATAAGGCAACATCTTCCAACACATTTTACACATTAAACACTAGACTAATAGCATTTACCAAGCGGACACATCATCAATAACCACACAATCACATTTTATCAGACATATGGAGTAAAATAGATACATTTTAGTTAACTTTCAATGCTGAGAACTTGCGGTGTTGTGACATCTATCAGATCGGAGGGAATGAGTATGTCACTGTGGATGAGTTGGTTCGTATGCCAATGGACGAGAGGAGATCATTCATGGATAGGTACAACATACCATTGCACTTTTTACATTTCGAGACTTGTAGTAGTTTATTATTGTTTTGTTTCATGTTTATCAAGGAGTAGTCCCGCTACTCCATTGCACTTCTACTATTTTGAGTTGCACATATACCACCAACCTTGTTTTGAAGCTTGAAACAAATTTGATAGGGCAAAGACATTGGATGCTAGGTTGCTCCGAAAGGGATTTGTGCTACAAATGAGTTTACTTTCTCTATCCCTTACTCTTTTAATTATGCCCCAATTTTTTTTTTTACCTAAAGTGTGGAAAAGGGGTTTGCACACATTTGTTAGCACACATATCTCATTCACAAATATCTATCGTTGTCACACCCCAAAGTCCTAGAAACACTTCTAAAGTGTGGAAACACCTTTAAAGTGTGGAAAGAGACCCTTAGTATGTTTTGACTCGTGTTTCTTTGTCCACCTAGTCCTCAAAGTAACATCGAGGACGATGTTTATTTTAAAGTGTGGAAAGAATGCACTTTGTGCTTTAATGGCTTTTGTTGCTCAATCGGTCTAATGGTGCTTGATTGATGAGTGTGTTTGATGATGGAGAGTGCGTTATTGTTCATATCATCTTGGAAGTGTGCTAGTTTTGTGCCTAAAATGTTTAATTCTTGAAATATCATTTGGAAGTTACCTCTTTACACCATGTGAGAAATGCATTGAGCCAAATAGGTTTATATCGTTTGTATGTTTGCATGTTATTCGCCTCTTATTTTACTTGGACCTTAGTCAAAGATCTCTCGAAGTGGGAGTGTGTACCCCTAAACTTTAGAAATATAATTGAAAGCAATGCCGGAAATGAACTTAATATTGGTAAGGTATGGGGCAAAAGGTGAGCCTTTGGTGAGCATTGAGAGTAAATCCCAAATCCCTAGAAAAAGGCATGAGGGGTTGAAGTGGAGAAAGAAAGAAAAAGACTAAGACCAAAAACACTGGCCACTCCTTGAGATAAGAAACAAGGTGAGCCATCTCACTAGGATTTGGGGCAAATCCATTGCACTAGGAGATGAGAAGAGAGAGTGAAGGTGAGCCACCCCGCTAGAAATCGGGCACCCATAGCACCACCCTTCGAAAAAGCATGGACCTCCATGTGAAATCGGGTTACCCGATAACGATTCTAGGGGGTTGAGAAGAAAAGAGTGCCCGCCTAAGCCAATTGGCAAGGAGCGGTCCATACCAAAGCTTCATTTTATTTTTATGCTTGTTTGGGGTGTGTACATCGTTCCCACTAGTTGGATCGGCTTGAAGACCCTTAGAAAATAGGAGGTGAATCCCGATTTTTGCATGCTTGGCATTGGTGTGGAGAATGTGTTCCATTTTATGCTTAATTTTATCCTTTTGCTGGGGGTTATTACTTCCTTTGTATATTCCTTGAGTTGTATAATAGGGCACATATTTATCACACTTGCTTCATGATATGGGGGATTTCACCATCTCTGTTGTTTTGCACATTCCTCTTGATTGACCATTTAATTGATTGAGTATGCATAGCATATCCTTTGTCACTTATCATGTGGGCTTGAATTGATAGCTTGCTTGAGGACAAGCAAGAATAAAGTGTGGAAACTTGTGATAAGTTCTAAAGAAATCACTATTTAGGGGTCATTTAGGGGTTGTATTGTGCTTATTTAAAGTCAATTGTGAATGATTTATGATGCAAATGCTACCAAATGAGCTAATGCGCTGCAAATGCCCATAAACTTGTGCACTTTAGTGTTTTGTAGGTTTTGAGCTTAAAGAAGGGCATTCCGGCGACAGTTCGGTAAATTGAGCATATCTTATGCTAGGAGTGTCCAAATGAGGTGATTCAAGTGGCATTGGAACGAAAACTTCAAGCACTACAACTATGATGAAGACAACAAGGGTGGATTCCGACCCACGCATTGTCCCACGAGGATGGAAAAAGTGCGTGGATTGGGAACAAAAATTTCCCACGAATCCACCCCACACGCGTGGGAAAATTAGTGGATTGGTTCAGCGTGGAAATTACAAATTTCAACCTATTTAAGTGGCTTGTTATTGGACTACTTCATCATCTACCATTTCATTTTGTATTTTTTATCATTTTGAAGAGCTTTTAGCTTAGATTTTCTCTTTCTAGGGTTCTTAGTTCTCTCTAGTCTCTCTCATTGTGAAGACTCTTGAAGAAAAATATTGACAACCTTCCATTCATGGATCATTGTAGAAGATTTCAACATTTGCAATTCCATTTGATATTATCTATTGTTTTATAATTCATTTGCTTGTTTGATTCATGATTGCATTGTTGAATTGCTTAGCTATGAGTGGCTAGTCTTCTAGGAATTGGATTGAATTGATGAGTGATTATGTATTCATGATTTGTATTGCTTTATTGATGAGATGTGATATGATTCTAGACCTAGAATCTTATGTTGTTGATGAGTCATGTATTGTTTCACTCTTCATTGAGAGCTCCAATGGGAGAGGAGTATGAGAGAGTGGAATTGACATGAGAATGCAATTCCATGAAGTCTTACTCATTACAATCCCTGTCCTACGATCCAAGAGGGCTATGCCCGGAAGGAGAAGGTAGACCACCCACCATGTGTTGGATAGAATGCCTCACCTGACTTAGGATTTGAGAGACTAGGTTCTACGTAGCATGGTGTAGGTGCCATAAGTTCTTCCTTAAGATAGTCTAGCATTACATCACCTCTTGTCTACTTTAGGCCAATGAATGTATAAGAACGAGTCAATTCTATCCAATTCCCCATTGTATATATTGCTTGTTGTTTTACATTTCCATTCTCTACCATTGTAGATATGAATCCCAATAAATCTTTCTCGCACCTATTTTACTTTTTTTAATGCATTACTACGATTGTCTTGCACTCTAATTACTCCGATTTTCCATCCTTGAGATCGACACTCGGGGATTCCATATCCTCGTTTACACTTTCCATCATTCCATCCCACTACACTACAAGTGGAGGTAAAAATCCATTTGTTAGGCGTATGTCTCAGGGTTTTCCCTTCATAGGCTACTGAGTAGATCCCCATACCTTAACGCTTCTATGAACAATGTTAGGGTTGCTCGATCGTCCAAGTCGTCCACTGTATGTACCTTTTTTTTGCCACTACTTTAGAAATTCTATCAGTGTTTCTGATTTTTCTTGGTGTACTGATAAGGCCATGAAGTATTTTTTTATCTTTCATACTTCCAACGAAGTGTGTTAAAAACTACTCTACCAGGATCCTCTACTCCTATCACCATCATCTTTGCTCGAAAGCCGACTAAATGGTCATTGGGGTCGCCCGTCCCATTGAATTCGGGTATCGTCGGACATTCGAAATCTCTTGGTGTGCGATATTCTTGGATCTCCATGGAGAATGGGCTGATGGACAGTGGAGACCAAGTGGTCGGCCAGTCCTTTCCACCCTTAGTCTCCTTTTGGAGGTCAGGGGTCTCACTACAACTTTCTACTAGGCCCTTTAGATGACCTTCTCTATTACATTCCTTCGCTTGCGATTCCCATGCGTGGGGGCGGGCGATCCAAGCGATTTTCGCTTGCCGTTGGGGGTTGAGCCTAGTCTTTCGTCGCGGTCTTTCGACCGTTGGGATTTCTTGTTTGAGTCGTGCGGGTGGGTTGTTGTCTTGGAAGTCCTAGGCAGTCAAGGAATGAAACCGTGTGGTGATGTTCTCTGGGTGGATTCGATTCATGCGTTCTCTCGGGCGGTTTGTCCCTGTCGTTTGCTCTACCTGGGTGATTTTGACAACGGGGATCCAGTGGGGACTCGCCTCTCAGTATGTAATCACGCTGGAAGACTTCCAGGAGGTGCTCAACGGCCTCCACTATGGAATGAGAAAGTTCGACCGGTTGGGTCTGTGGAACGGTAGAGACCGACGAGCGTGTGCTCGGATGAATCTCCTCTTCTTCTCGAGGGTTTTCTAGATTGTAATTTTTCCTGGGGAGTGTCGATCGGCCGGATGGTACGTGAGATGCAAGCCGACTGAGGGTTTCTCTCAAATCCTGGATCGACCGGTCAATATGGGTGCAACGTCGAGTGGTCACCATACATGATTAGAGTTGTTGGTGTGTGTTTTATGTTTGTGGGACCAAACGTAAACTTTTTGTATCGATCCCCACGTACGGCGCCAATGTTGATTTTATGAATTTTGGGCAGTCAATGGCAAGCCAACACTACCTTTAAAATAATGAGAATATAGGAAAAATATGAAGAAAGTATATTGAGAGAATATAGGTATTTTGTATTGGTGAATATTGCTTGTGAATAGTAAAAATTGTCTCCCTTTTCCCCATGTATGGGGGTCTATTTATACGTATTTTGGGCCTATAGCCCTACAAGGAATAAGAGTTCTAAACTGCCTCATATTGGGAGTCTTTATCACATTGGGAATAACAAGCCTAATCCTTATTATAGTATGAATAATAAATCCAATCCTTATTAAACTCCTAAGTTACTTCGTACTGTGTATCCTTCTTGGGCTTCCATGATCTAGTTGCTTTCTTAGGCCGGTCCATGAGGTCTAGGCCTAGTATACCATCCATCAAATAACATATATAAATAAGAGTTAGTAATATAAAGTTGATTTATAAATATATAAAGTATTTATTATTTATATATAGTTAAAATGAGATTACATTCTTATTGAATTAAAATCTATGAGAGAGAATTATTTTTTAATATTGTCAAAATACATTTATTTTTTTTAATTTACCGAAAGTCAATATCAATTACACATAGGAGTGCTCTGGATGAAACCCACCTCGTGCCCTATAAGAAAAAAGACTATAATGAGGTAATTAAGCCAACATAGGTAGGTTGCCAATATCGGCTGAAACTTGAAAACTTGTCGTTATCAACTAAACTGCCTAGCCAACTTGGTTGGGAGTTTCCCCAAAATGTATTTATTTAACAATTATAATTGATAGTGTTGGGATATTTGGATTGGCATAGGCATGCCTGACATTAATCAAAAGGAGCAATCCATGGATCATATCATATTAAATTAACCCACATAATTCTCTAAAAGAGGTAATCATAATCATATTAATTGATTTGATAATAATACCTCAGATTTAACATTCATTTAACAAAAATTTTAACAGATAATTATTTGTGGTAAAAAATGAAAGTCAAGATACATGATTTGATCGAATTGAAAATCGAAAACTAAAAAGAGAACTAGCCCAATTATTAGAGGACCATTTATAGTATTAACTCTAAAATAAAATACTTTACATGCCAGAGTGTTGGTCTAGTGAACTTAAGATTTGTTGTTAACGGAAAGTTGCCTAGCCGAAAAATCTGGATTATCAAAAAACAAAAGGAAAATACTTTTTTTTTTTTTTTTTTTTTTTTGAGGCAAAAGGAAAATACTTTAATTTACACGTATTTCTACAATAAACAAGTGAATTCTACGCATTAAGTGCTCGTATCATAGTGCAGAAAAGCTAACCACCCAAAATCAAACAACTACAATCTGTATGCAACATTTCTAAGATTAATATAACTTTGATTTCTTTCGAATAGTAATATTTTCATATTCAATCATCGACTATTGCTTAAAAAAAAATCATCGACTATTAATTTGATTAAATATAATTTTAAAAAATTTAAAAATTAATTAATTTAAATCCAAAATATTTAAAATATATTTATTTTTGGAATATTTTAAAAACTTTGAATTAAATTTAGTTATCAATTGAAACCATTATTAAACATAATATTAACTAATAGACTATAAAGTGAAATTGAAATGCATGGATATGTTTTTAGTATTTATGTTGAAAATGAGCAGTCACTAATAGCATGTTTGGTTCACAGAATGAATTTTGAGGTAATAGGAATGCTATTCCATAAGGAATGGAATAGGCAAGGAATAGAATAAGAATTGTATTCTATTGTTTGGTTCGCGGAAGGAATAGATTTAGAAATTATATTACAATGTTTGGATGATTTAAGTAATAGAAATGAAATATGTTTTAAAAGACATAAATACCCTTATAAAAATATATGATGGTGGCGGTGGCGGTGCTGGTGTGGTGGCGATGGTGGTGGCAGTGGCAGTGGTGGGGGCGGAGACGGTTGTGCTGATGGTGGTGGTGGTGGTGGCGGCGACGGTGGTGGTAGTGGTGGTGGTGGTGGTGGCGGCGGCGACGGTGATGGTGGTGGTGGTGACGACGGTGGTGAAATAGGATAAATTTATATATAAGCTAAAAAAAATTAGGTTAAAGAAAGGGGTAAAAAAAAAAATAGATTCTAAAATCTATTCCTGAGCGTTCAGTAATAGGCTAATACCAGGGGGCCCCTAGTAATAGCTATTACCTTATTTGAGGTAATAAGCTATTACCAGGAATACTATTCCTGATAATAGAAATGGTTACCAAACAAAAGAATATGCCTATTACTGGGAATGCTATGCCATTCCCGGCCTATTCCGTGAACCAAACGGGTCATAAAAGTGATAATGTGTCAATCTTATTGACAGGCTAAGGGGAAACACAAATAATTGACCATCAAAGAGCACATGTATCTTATTGTTGAAATCGATTTTAACAATTTGTCTTTTATTACCTGATTCTACGAAAACGATTTGCAAAATATGTGTACTTTTTTTTTAAAGGAATTATTATTATTATTATTATTATTATTATTATTATTATTATTATTATTATTGTTGTTGTTGTTGTTGTTGTTGTTGCTGTAGTTGTTGTTATTATTATTATTATTATTATTATTATTATTATTATTATTATTATTATTATTATTATTATTATTATTATTATTATTATTATGTGAAGAAGGAAATTAAACTCGCAGTTACTATTCGAGAGTGTGCACAAAGTATGGTCGGTGCTTCCCGTGTGGCCGGTGAAGATTGCACCATTAGTTATGCATAAATGCACACACAACATTCCGAAATGCATGAGAATGAAATGCACAAATGTATCACACACAAAAAAAATGCACCACACCTAATGGTTAGAGGCCCCATGCCCGCACGGGAACCTGACCCTATATTAGTTTTACACGCATTGCGCGAATGAGTTAATGCCCAATATTTATAATTAAATAAATATTTGAAAGTATATCAATACAAGATTATATATGAGAAGTTCATACATAAGTAATTTAATGTTGAATTTGTTTATTTAAATATGTAACTCATAGTATATGAATACAATTTAATATAGGAGATTCATTATAATTGTTACTAAATTTTTTTAAATAATAACCAAGTATTTTTGTTGCAAAGGGTGCACATATATACAAGATCAATGAATGAATCAACGGTACCAGTTCTTTAGGTGTTTTGCTCAGTGTTCATTTAGTTAAATCATTATTTTTGAATAAATTATTATGGATAAAGAAAATTCCTAATTTAAGAAATTTAGATAAAGTAGTAAAAATTTAAAATTTTTAATTATAATGTAACCCAAAGATCAAAATGCTAAAAAAAGTGTTTGGTTATTCAACAATTTGTTCCAAACTATTGAAAATACAAACATTGCAATTTATTACATTTTCACTTAACGTTTTTGAGAATGATTTCCCAATACCTCTATATTAAAAAAAAAAAAAAAAAAAAAAAAAGTTTACTGTAGAGCCATTTCAACTCCTTGAATAACAAGAGCTAATTTCGCTGGATCACTACTTGCCCATCAAAGGATGAGCAAGCTTAATTTTTAAATTGGAGCCTTAAGGCTCCTTTTATAGGAGTCTCAAAGCTCGCATGCCACTTTTTCTACCGATGTGAAAAAAGTGACAAAACTAAGGGGAGCCGAACATTCGGCTCCCCATATGTTTTTTTTCTTTTATTAAATTATTATTATTATTATTATTTTTAAAACAATTATTATTATTATTATTATTATTATTATTATTATTATTATTATTATTATTATTATTATTATTATTATTATTATTATTATTATTATTATTATTATTATTATGTATACCCTTAGGCCATTTTACATGTTAATCTAAACATCTAATTTTTTCAAATATCTTTTTACTCACCGTTGATATAATTCGCTAGTCAAATCCGCTAACACTAACCGCTAACTGCTGATTGTCAAACAAGGACATTGCGAGATAGTTTCCCACTTCAATTTGTTGTGTGATTTGAATACTCTCTTTGCCAACGGATTTCAAGTAGTTAATATTTTTTTGGTTAAACAGGAGGGGGATACCCAAAACAAACTATAAACGGCCAAGCACCCCCGTTGTATCTCTGGGGACGCGTCTGACGACGTTCGCGCCCAGCTTGTCAAGCCGGATTACATCCTTTAAATCCTGGAGTGTGTCAGCTAGAATGCAAAGGCCAATCGGATATGAGAACGCTGACGTAGCTAGGCTATCAGCTGCCTTGTTTCCTTCTTTGAAGACATGCACGTAAGCCACCTCGTGAATCTGCTCAGCCACTCGCCAGCATTGCCTGATAACATTGCTGGTATCAGCGTGGTACTCCATAGGCTGGCAAAGAGTTTCAACGATCCTTCTCGAATCGCATTCCACCACCAGTCTCGTAGCGTTTATAATCCACCGCCATATACAGACCTTGTAAAATCTCCCAAGCTTCGGCTTCCATGGCTTGGCAATGGCCGATATTTAGAGTGAAACCTTGGCACCAGTTCCCAATCGAGTCCCTGAGTAAACCCCCACAACCAGCTGCGCCATTTCCTTTGCTACAGCCATCAGTATTTAGCTTCAACCAACCATTGTCAGGCTTCCTCCATGCATCCCACTCGAACATCCATAGGTGAGTTGCACCCCTTAGCTTGAGTCGTGCGCCTTGCAAAAGCTGCCTTGATCTCTGCATCATGTTGATTGAGCCACTTCAATTTCTGTCCTATCGCTGTACTCTGTTATCTGAAGATCTCATTGTTGCGCCAGCGCCAAATCCACCAGAGTCGCATGCAGAACCTCTCTGGCCAATCATCTCCAAAGCCATACCTCACGTCACCTTTCAGGTTTGTCTCTAACCAGTCACTCCAAGCCAAGGATCACAGATGAGCATTCAAGCGCTGTTGGATGGCCATCTCCCAAATGCACTCAGTCGCCGGGCAGAACCTGAAGAAATGATCAAGGTCCTCTGACTTACCTGCACAACGTAAACAACACATGTTAGTCGTTAGCTTGCGTCTCGCTCGCTCGACATTGGTGAGGATCCTCCCATGACGGACGAGCCAAATAAACATGCTTATATTCGTCGAAACCCGTAGGCTCCAAATCCTTTGCCATTGGCCATCGTCGGTGTTGGGCGCATTGTCCACCGCCTTGTTGTATGCCGATCGGATAGAGAATTTCTCTTTGAAGTCCAGTCCCCAACCAATCCCATCCGGCATATGTTCTACTAGAATGAAACTCGTCGTTCTCTCTCTCACTTCCATTGGCAGCTTGTCTTCCAAAATTTCCCATTTCCATCCTCGTTGGTCATCCCAGAAGTCTCTTATGTTTTCATAAAGAACTGGGAGGACTAGAGGTGTGGTGAGCTGGCTGAAAAGAGGCTCTGGCGTGATCCAAGCGTCCATCCAGAACTTGGTCGACTTCCCGTTACGAACAACCCATGTCAGGTGCTTTTCCATAAGGTCCGAAGCCGCTGATATGCCTCGTCAAATGTTCGAGAGATTGCGTCTACCCGACACCTTACTTTGAATCCCTCACATCCTGTTGTATTTCGTGGTAAGGGTCTGTGCCCATAAGCTGTCAGTCTCCGCCTTAAGCCTCCAGCCCAGTTTAGCCATATATGCTGCGTTCATCTCCTGAAGGCGATTCACGCCCAGACCCCCCATCATCCTTACTAGTCGTGACCAGCTCCCAATTTACTAGACTTAACTTGTTCTCCGTTCCTTTGGCACCCCAGATAAACTTCCTCGTCCGCTTCTCTATTTCCAAGCAAATACTCTTTGGGAGGGCTTTCGTTTTCATGGTGTAGGCGAGTATGGCATTCAGAACTGATTTGGCCAGAACGGCCCTTCCTGCCAAAGACAAAGTTTAATCCTGTCAAGTAAATCTGAATAAGTGGCATTAGTAACTCGACCATGAAGGGCAGGAACCCCCAAGTACTTGCCCAGGTCATTGGTTCGAGATATTTGCAGGTGACTTGCAATGATATCTACGTGCGGGGTCCATGTTCTTTGAGAAGAAGACTTGAGACTTACTCAGACTAATTTTCTGCCCCGATGCCCTACAGAAGCGGTCCAAACACTGTTTGACTACCTCTACCTGTTCGTCTTACGCCTCCGTGAACAGGACCATGTCATCTGCAAAACATAAATGAGTTAGAACAAGACCATAGGTGCAAGTTTTATACCTTTCCAATTGTTATTCATGGCTTCGAGGATAATAGATTGGCTAAGTCTTTCCATGCACAACACAAAGATTTCCGGTGACATACCATCGCTCTGCCGAATGCCCCGCTCAGGGTGGAAGGACTCCAGACGTTCCCCGTTCCAAATGACTAACAACCTAGATGTTCTAATACAATTCATCATGAGGTCCCTTATCATCGCTGTAAAACTCATTTTTTCTAAGGTGTCCTGAATGAAATTCCAAGACAGATCGTCATAGGCTTTCTCTAGGTCAAGTTTGATCGCCATATATCCCTTCGTGCCTCGCTTTTGGCGCATGGTGTGCATAAATTCCTGGAAGATAAAGACATTGTCCGAAATCTGGCGCCCAGGGACAAAAGAAATTTGAAAAGGCCCCACAATCTTGGGAAAGATGCGCTTCACTCTGTTTGTTATCGTCTCGGTGATGATCTTGTAACTGACATTGCAAAGACTAATAGGTCTAAATTGTTTGATAGTCTCTGGGGACCGAACTTTGGGGATCAAAGCAATGAGGGTATCGTTAATATCTGTTGGAAAAGTCCCTGTCGTGAAGGCCTCCCTTACCAGCCTAAACATGTCAGCACCTATTACGTCCCACATGTGCTGATAAAAACCCGCCAGAAAGCCATTTGGCCCTGGCGCCTTAAACGGCTTCATATCCTTGAGCGCATTGTGGACTTCGTCAATCGTGACCATCCTGTTGAAGCATACCCAATCCAGGTTGCTAATGCGGGGAAAAATCGCACACATCTGGGCCCTCGTGTCCTCCGCGGCATCCTTCGAGAAATGGTGGACATAGAAAGTTCGGATGTGCTCTCGAAGCTTAGTGTCTTTGGAAAGCCAGGCTCCCTCGTCATTCATTAGTCTTTGGACTGTGTTTCGGGATTTACGAACTGTAGCCGCTGCATGGTAAAAAGTTGTGTTCCTATTTCCAGAGTAGATCCAGTCTTCCTTAGACTTCTGAAACCAAATGAGTTCCTCTTGGTGTAAGGTGTCTTCAAGAGTCTCCTTTAGCCTAGCCTCGAGTTTGGCGAGACCCCTATGATAGCCTATTTCCAAGATCTTCTGAATACCAAGTATCCTTGCCGTGAGAGACCGTTTCCTTTTTAACACATTGCCAAAGGAATCCTTATTCCACCTCGCTAGCACACTGACCAGGTCTTTCGTGTTCTCTAGAAGGCTTCGTTCAGACTTCCAAGCACACTGTACTACTCCACACAAATCAGCATGGGTGAGCCAGGCTGCCTGGAAGATGAAAGGCGTCGGTGTCAAAGTTCTCTGTTCCACTCCCACCTGTTCTAAAATCGGTGCATGGTCGGAGGCAATCCGTGCTAAGTGAATAACCCGCGCATCTGGAAATCTGGTACGCCAGTCAGTTTTGCACATGGCCCTATCCAGGCGCACTCCCTTGAAGGTATCCATGTTCCCATCTTTCACCCAAGTGAGCGTGGGCCCCGAGAAACCCAGATATACGAGCCCTTCTTCTTGGATTCAATTTGTGAAATCCGAAGCCCGATGTGAAGAAAAGACGCTATAATCTCTAGTCTCGTCCTTATTGACGACCGAATTGAAATCTCTCGCTGTGAGCCAAGGTCCCATGATACCTTGCACCGAATGTCTGAGGTCCTTCCAAAGTCGTCGGCACAGATAGTGTGCTGGGCTCCCATAAACAGGGGCCAGACACCAAGGCGGCTGGTTATCTGTCTTCACCTGCAAAAGAATAAACTGAGGGTGAGTATGTTGAATCGAGATCCGCAGTGGGTCCTTCACAAAGACCCAGATGCCACCGCTGAAACCAACGACTTCAACACGTATCCAATCCTCGAAACCAATTTTATTGCCGATTTCATTTGCATGAACCCCCAAAACCTTGGCCTCAAAGAGCCCCAAGATGCATGGCTTGTGAGTCTTGATGAGGTGATTAAGGGGGCGCAGGAACCGCTTGCCACCCGCACCCTGACAATTCCAAAATATGCAATTCATAAAAACAAAATAGGGGCACCCTGACAATTCCAAAATATACAATTCATAAAAACAAAATAGGGAGGCAAGAAAGGAAAAACAAACAGAAATAACCAGGCAAAACCAAACGCAGAAAAGAAAACCAAAAGCAGGGATGCTCATTTAGCACCCCCGTTACCTCCATTTTCGCGCTGTGCAAGAGCCTCATCGAGGTCCATGACCACATCTCCCTCGTCACCTATATGTTCTAGTGGATCCCCAAAATGCTCTTTTGAAGATTCCCACACCGGCGAAGGAGCCGCGCCTCCCGTGTCTCCCACATAGACACGCGACGACCTGATCAGCATACCGTCTTGCGCACCCCTGACAATGACGTGTTTGTCCTCCTCCACCGCGCGTCTGGACCTGCCACCACTTGCCCACCTCGTTCTATGCTCAGATGACGAAACAGCGATGGCCATCCCCTACGGTTGCGATGGCTCATTCAAGATTTGCTTCTCTCTAGCTATCACGTTCGGTCTCCTGCTCTTATCTCCCACTGTTGATTGCAATTGGCTACTCCGAGGTATTGCTTTGTCACCATCCTCAGCCGTGACTGGTTGCTCGTCCCTCGTGGCATCCCCAGGTGTCTCTGTAAGGACACGTACTGCCTTTTCAACAGCCACATCGCCGTCACCCGTAGACAAGGGCGCGAACCTGGACACTTAAATGCCAGCGTCATCTCTAGTTTTGGTTCCTCCCCCACGGTTGCTCCCCGAGCGCTGGTTACGATCATAAGAAGATGTTGGAGGCCTGCCCTTACGTTGAGGCGCGATCATCCAGACTCCGAATATGACCTTGGGGTCTGTGGCTCGTTCGTCTCATTGGGTGGGATCGTGTAAACATGCTGGCTCCACCACCGGCATGCGTAACCACCGGCATGCGTAACCACGGACAACCGTCTTTCGCATGTGTATGCTCCAGCACCTCCAGGCTCTACCACCGGCATGCGTAACCACGGACAACCGTCTTTCGCATGTGTATGCAGACCACATGAAAAGCATACCAAGTGTATGCCTTCGTAAGCCACATTCCTCAGCTTGCCTTCGTATGTAAATTTAGAAATAAGAGGCTTTCGCATATCAACCTCCACGCAAATCCTTGCAAACATACCTCGAGACACAATACTGGTGGCTTGATCAACGCGTATTGTACGTCCGATTCGATTCCCAAGCTTCCTAAGAAAGATTATATCATAATACTCGACAGGAATGTATGGAACCCTGGCCCAAACGAGCACCTTCTCAGTGGTGTCATTCATCGGATCAAAGTCTGGCTCCCATGGCTTCACTATTAGATAGTGATTCAACACCATCCATGGTCCTTCATACATCGCGAATTCTGAGTCATCAATAAATCCAAAACGTACCAGGTAGTAATCATTCGCAATGGCAATCAAGTCTGAACTGCCTTTCTGTTTCCACATCGCCGTTAGCCTCCGGAGCATATACGCATATCCTACCCGCCTGCCCATAACCTTGATGATAAGCGCCTTTTGCCATGGGCCCCTGATCTTCTCCACCTCCTCCTTCGTTAATCTGATAGTAGGACACATAGGATTATCATCTTCCTCCGCTGCAATATCTTTGTGTTCATCTGCCTGATCTAATGCGCAACGATGGGGCTCCAAACTGGCCGCGCTCCGTCCAGTCACGCTTTCTGCGTACGTGCGTCTCAGGGACATTGGTTCCAGAGTTGATTCAGGCACGATCGTCAGCACCTGAGAAATCACGACAGATGGATCCGTCATCGGCTCCATCTCGCCGCCCACTACCATCGCGTCCCTCGTGTCTCTTGCACTATCTCCACCTCCGTCATCCCGGCGTCAGGGCTCACGATCGGTGCGATCTCCTCAGACGCCTCGTTCCACTTAGACTTCTTCGTGCTCCGTTCCAATAAGTCGTGATCCTCCGTCAAACGCTATGTCGAGAGCTTTTCTTCCATCGTCTCAGAAATCATCAAAATTATCTCCCTCAAGTAGTTAATATGATTGGCTTTATTAATTATATATATATATTTTTAATTTTGTTATGGTATTAATAAAATACTTGGTAAATAAATATATAGCATTATTTTGTATTATAACTTTGATATTTAATTAAAAAGTACTGCGCAAAAAAAAAATAATAGACAATATAATGAATATAATCAATTGATGAATTTGAATGTAAAGAATTTTTACATTGGAGAAAAATATAGACAATATAAGTAATGAAATTATTTCTCTCAATTAATCTATTGATAATGAATTTTTTCTTTTGAATAAAGACATTGTAGGGACAATGTAGCGAATATAATCAATTGATAAATTTGAATGTAAAGAATTTTTATATTGGAGAAAAATAAAGACAATATAACTAATAAAATTATTTCTCTCATTTAATTTATTGATAATGAATATTTTTTTGGATATGTGCTATTTTTTGTTGTAGCTACTAAATTACTATTTAATTTAATAAGAGTAAAATAGAGTACTAATTATGCCAACGTTGATTAGGATGAGGTTCAAACCTAAGACCTTTCTTATTGAAATCGATGAGTAAGTTAACGGTGAATTGACATAAATTAACGGAAAAGATAATATTTAACTGAAAAGTTAACGGTCAATCATATAACTAAGTATAAATTAAAAAATCTCAAGGAAAAATTAAAATCTGATCAATCTGAGCCATTCATTTGATTAAAAAATTTGACCGTCATTTTTTCTACCCATTATAGGTCTAACTCTCTTTGGCTCTTATTAGTATAGTATAGTGTGTGTGTGTGTGCGCGTCTATATATATATATATATATATATATATATATATATATATATATATATATATATATATATATATATATATATATATATATATATATATATATATATATATATATATATATATATATATATATATGTCCAGGACCGCCGAGGATTTCTCAAGTGAAAAATGCGCACAAATCTCAGCCATTAATTCCGTCCAGATCTACATCTCTTTAAAAAAATTTACACTTCGAATTTTGAAAAAATATGCACTTGAAGGCACAAAAATGTGCACTCGAATGCCAAAATTTTGCACTCGAAGGCACAAAAATGTGCACTCGAATGCCAAAATTTTGCACTCGAAGGCACAAAGATATACAATTGAAGCAATTATAGTGCCAAAAAAGTGAGTTATTCAACTTAAATGTTATTGAAGCAATTACCCATACAAATCGTTTGAAAATCTCACAAATTTCATTAGAAATTTAGTTATGTATTGTTGAAAAGAATGCAAAAGATATAATAAATACTAGTCCATAATTGTGTACTTCGAAGGCAAAAAAACGTGCACTTGAAGGCACTGAAGTACGCACTTGAAGGACAAACTTCTGCACTCGAAGGCACAAAGAAGTGCAATTTAAGGAATTATGATACCAAAAAGGAGGAGTTATTAAATATAAGTGTTATTGAAGCAATTACCCTTACAAATTGTTTGTAAATCTCACAAATTTCATTAAAAATTTAGTTATACCTTATTGCAAAAGAAGGCAACAGATATAATAAACATTGACTCATAATTTTGCACTTGAAGGCACAAAAATGTGCATTTCAAGGCACATAAATATGTACTCGAAGTCACAAAGGTGTGCACTCAAAGGGAGAAACTATGTACTAAGACAAAACATATGCACGCAAAGAAAGAAAAATATGCACTTGAAGAAGGAAAATGTTGAACATCTAAACATACCTACACAAAATTACAATAATACCAACGCGTATTTTTCAATTCTTCATCATTCTGGACTGTTGATTTGGACAAGATCTATGGTTGAGATTTAACCCTATTTTTTACTTAAAGCCTTCCTTCGCATTTGAATGCTTATATATATATATATATATATATATATATATATATATATATATATATATATATATATATATATATATATATATATATGATGGGGATATTGGGCATGGGCCATGTACTTGATGGGCTGGCATTGTTGGGACTGCGGCAGTGCGACTGCCAGCACCCTCGCGCGCGGGCCGCTGGGGCGGTGCGCAAGGCTTAGGCGGGAGGAATCGCGCGGATGGCGGTGACGCGGCGTATGTGCAGCAATGGCGATAAACAGGGGAGTGGCGAGTGACTACGTGGGACACATGGACACCAAGGAAGGAGAGGGGCATGCTATAATTAGGGGTCCTGGAACCTTAGCAAGTGGCAACGCAGACACAACAAACACTGCAGTCTAGTGGTCTTGATCTCATACTCTCAACCCTTTCACCCGACTTCGATTCCTATAACCCACCCCGTGGACCTTATTCTTTGTATTTGGACCGCCATTCCGGGCTTTGTACGTACTATTTTGGGCATATCGTCCTGGGTAACAAAGCTATTCTTTGCTTACCCCCGTTCTATATTTCTATATCCGGTTTATGGTGGACTCGGTCCCAATAAAACCATCAATATATATATGTAATTTATTTATTTATATTTTGGGTGTGAACTAAATGATAGTAATATGTGTATATCAAGGTTGCAAAAACCGTTAGACGACTATGAGCCGATTTTTTATTTTTATTTCTTAATTTATTTTTTAAATTTTATTTTAAAAAAATAAAAAATAAATAAATTAAAAATTATTAAATTCACTAATAAAACATAAGGTTCCTCTAGTTTTTTCTTACAAATTATTTACATGAGTGGTTGTAAAATCGTTTTGAATATTGTTGAAAGCATCGAAATACATAAAAAAAAATAAAATTAAGAGCAAAAGAAGCATTTTTGGAGAAATTAGAGGGCCAACCGAGTCAAAATTTATGCCTTCCCGAACTTTTAACACTTTACAATGCAAATAAATAAATAAATAAATCGCTGAACTGACCGGCCGGCCGCGGAGGAGGCCGATTCCGGCCTTCCTCGCGGCGGCCGGCAGCAGCCTAGCGCCTAGGCGTCGATTACGCGATTTTTGCAACCATGGTGTAAATACAATAAAATCATGTCAAAATAGTGAAATTTATGACCTAAGTAACATTTTTCCTTTAATCAATTTTAATTTTATGGATATAACCTTAAATCTATATTGAACATTGAGTCTAAAACGGTTAGACGGAGATTTAAACTTACAAGATTATGGACTATAATTTTTCTCCCAGGTGTAATTGTCTGATTATGGACTATAATTTTTCCCCAACGTGCAATTGTCTTAACGGTTATAATAGCATAGTTGGGAGAATATTATAATAGAATTGTTGCCCGTACGGGCTTAACCCACTGGTTCAGTAGACAATATTTGGGAGAAGAGAACAAGGTTTTTGCCCTGTCTGTTGAGTCACTGAGTTATCGTGATTTATATCATTCCAAATGCTCTGTCGGGCAATAAATGTTTCTGTTTAATAGTTCTTTTAATGTAGTTTCTAAATATATAAATTTTATATGGTAATACTAAGTTTAATATTAATGGGATATTGGGGGTTGGGCTTGGCCCACTTGGCATTGGGTGGCAGTTAGAAGGCGCTCCGAGAGGTGGGAGGGGGGTTGGGCTGGTCGGTGGTGGTCGTCGCCGGCGCAAATAAGGAGCGCTAGGGGCATGATGGTCTCTAGGGAAGCGCTGGCGCCCGAGGGTGGAAGAAGCCGTCTCAGATTGCCTGGCTAGGATGTTGGCGGTGTGACGGTTTGGGTAGGCGTACGATGTGGCGGCGCGGATGGAGTTCTGGTGTGGCGGCGGATGATGCGACGTACGGCGAGAGGAGTGGGTTGGTATGCATGGCGGGCGTGTATGTCGATCGACATGCGACGTGGCAGCTGACATGCAGGTAGGAATGACCACATTTCCGGTTCCGGTTCTGGAAATAGACGAACCGGAACCGGAACCTTAATAAAACGTTCCGGTTCAGGTTAGAATCGTCGGTTCTAACCGGAATTTCAATTTTTTTTTTTTAATTAAGAAATTGTATGGTATGTGTATATTTTTTGTTGCATGTGGCAACAAACAAATAAATTGGCTAGTAGGCCTCTGGGCCAGTGGCCTACTGGCCATATTATTTTATTTATTTTATTTTAAATTTTACGGTTCCAAACCGGAACCGTCCGGTTCCTAATTTTCTATAACTGGAATCGTAACCTTACAGTTTCAGTTCCGGAACCGAAATCGAAACCGTACAGACAGTTCCGGTTCGGTTAGCACAGTAACGGTTACGGTTCGAACCGTGGTCACCCCTACATGCAGGGTAGTGTGCGACGATCGGTTTGCATGGCGATCGACATACGGTGTGGCAGCTGGCATGCAGGGTGGTGTGCGGCGATCGGTTTGCAAGGTGTCAAACGCCGGGGATGGCGCGTGGGTAGGGGTGGTGGTTGACGTACGGCCCAAGGAGATGGGACACGTGGGTGGTAGTGGTGGACGTGTGCAGGATATCGTACACGTGGACGACTTTGGGGAGGGGGGGGGGGGTGTCCTGTAACAGTATAAATGGGTGGGGGGCTTGTTATCTGTTTAGGGCACTAAGAAAAACACAGAGACCTCTCTTACCTTGTGGTCTGAGTTTTTCTTTTCCAACTGATTGGTCAAGGTTCAATCCTTGGGGTAATTTATTTATTTATTTATCAATTTCTTAGTTTAAGTTATTCTGCTTATTTATTTATTTTGTTGGGCCGCCATTCTTTGGCCCGGTCCCTTGGGGTTTCTGTATAAATTTATTGGGCCTCACGCCCTGGTAATAAAATTATTATCTTCCTACCCCTATTTTATATTTCTTTATTTGGTTTATGGTGGACCCGGTCATTATAAAACCATCATTAGCGTTGTTTATAGGGATTGGGCCTCAGTCCCCTTTTTCTCTACCATTCGACGTACCAGCGAGCACTTCGGGCGAGTAGTGGCACACTCGCCAGAAACACCCGCCGGGTACAAGGTTCGGGGGGGGGGGGGGGTGTTCCGGCAGGTGGTTTGGGACCCGCCAGAACCCCCCACTGGTACACCAAGGGAGTTCGGCGGCACCTTTTCCACCCGCCAAAACCACCCTCTAGTACGATGTTTGTTGGCTTATTGTTTTGTTGTTCCCCGCGTATTTGTTGATGTTACGTAAGTCTAGAGCGATGTATTATGAACTCAATGGTAAGGATTTGGAGTCTTGAATCGTGATTAATATCCAATATTGCTATTCGTTGGATTATTTGATGAAGTCTATGATGTTCGTATGAACCTTTGTGATTTCTCTTTGACTTATGTATTAGCATGTTGTTTCTTGATGCTAGTATGATTCCTTGTGATATTCTATACTTGATTCTTGATTGAATTGATAACTTGAGCTTATCTATCAGTTGTGACACTTCGTTGAAATCTTTTGTTGTTGAGTCATTACCTTTGGAATACTCTTCTTGTATTTCTCTCTTGATATC